GAGGGTTCTAAGTGTAACTTCTGAGCCATTGTTCTGTCTGGGGCACCCTGTCCCAGGTAGTGGCCTCTGTGTGTGTATATTTTAACCACTGCTTCAAGTCTTGGTTTCACTTTTTATTTATCCAGTTCCATCTACATATCTGTCATCTAAATAAATGGCTTTCAAACAAAGCAACTGGGTCATTAAAACCAGCTCAAAGGAAAAACAAACAAAAAAAACCCAGCCCATCTTTGGGGGCTGATTTTTTTTTTAAGTGCTATTTTAAAAGGAATTCTAGAGCGATTTCACTGTACATCTTACTGCCTGGTGGGGCTCGTACCACTCAGGGTGGACCCCACGCCCAGAGGAAGACGCACAGAACGCCTGACAGACCCTCGGCATCCGGCATCTCACCTTGACCCCAGGTCCCCCGGCCACACTCAACGAAGCACCGCAGCCTGGCTCCCCGAGGCCACGGTGGAGAGCTGGCCCCTCCAGGCTGGAGGGTGGGCGAGCGGGGAGAGAGGCCAGGCCGCCGGTGACTCCCGCGGGGAATGCGGCCTTTCGCACACATGGGAGAGGAACGACGGCCGAAACCTGGGAGGCCGGGATTCCCGGCTCCGGATTGGCAGTTTAGCAGCGAGGAAAGGAGTCCGAGTGGACAAAAGAAAGGCAGGGAGGAGGGACAGAGCCAAACACACCAGGAGGAAGTGGATCACAGCAGAAAGTGTTGGCGGAGGATTTCTGGCGGTGGCTCACAATATTTCAGACAATGCCCTTTTCTTTTGTCTCCAAACAGGTATCCAGTGAAAGGTTATCCTTTCTTGCAGCCAGTACTCAAATAGGAGCCCAGGGTGACAAGCAGGGGACAGGGGTTCTGGGCCAGCTCCTTCTCGAGGAGGGTCGGCAAACGTTTTCTGTAAAGATCCAGAGAGTAAATACAAATCTCATGTTGGCAGATCGTACGGTTTCTGTCGCAACTATGCCACTGTGGCATGAAAGCACACATACATAGGCCACACTTCACAGGCCTGGCTCCGCGCCCATACAATTGGATTTAACAGGCACCCGACTGGATTTGCCTCCTGGGCCCGAGACCGCTGACCCCCGGGCTAGTGAGCCCGCGAGAAAATCCGCATCCTCTGGGCCCGCTCGCAGCTCTCCCCGAGAGCCACCTGAGGCCAGAGATAAGGGAGCTAAATTTATCCGACTCTAAAATGATCGGCTGCAGGGGAGGCTCTTACCCAAAGCACAACTAGTGTTTATGTGCCCTGACCACTGCTGCCAGGACACGGTGCTGGAGGGTCGTCCCCCCCCACCTTTCATGTCCTGTGTTGGGTGCTGGGGGGAGGGGACAGAATGCTGGAGAAGCACCTAGAAAGAGCTGGAGCTGCAGAAAGCGGAGGCGACGGTGCAGTTAATCCGCCTGTGCCCGCGGGGCGGGGGAGGACCGGTGTGTCAGGCTCTGCCATGGGAACGGAGCGTAAACCGTGGCCGGCTCACGCCACGGGCCACTGCAGCACACTGGCTGCTCCCCTGGCGTCACCCCCGAGGTGCTGGGTCAGCTGCTCGCTTGTTCGCAGGCTGCTGGGTGTGCAAAGGCATCACCTCTCTCTTTCCCTCCGTGTCAGTGTTTCAGGGCTGCTTCTATTGTAAATATTTGTCATTTGTCCTTATGATCGCGGTGTCTTCCCCCTAAGGCATGAAATTGCTCCCTGAGTCCCTCTGAGCCCCTCGGCTGACACCTGTTGCCTGTTTCTCATGCCCCCGGGTTGTTTCTTCCCCACGGTCAGGGAGCCGCATCTCACTCTGGTTCCCGATGGTCTGAGGCCGACAATAGTATCTAAGGCTAAGGTTCTTTTGCTCAAAACGGAGGAAGGTCCAAATTCCTGTAAGCGCTGGCAGCCAGGCGTTTATGCAACTGAAACGTCAGCAAAGCCGTCATTAAAAATAGAGCCTGCGCCTGGGCTTCGTACTTCATACAAACCTACTCGTGGGCCTTCCTCTGAGGAAGGATGTGGATTTCCAAATAAAGATACGATGTTTATTTTGAGCTTTGTGTCTTAACAAGCTGATCCGAACACCTCTCCATTGTAGCGATCAAGAGACCCGTTCTTCTGAGAGGACTGAATCTACTGCAAGGCTGACCCCAAAGCTAGACAAACAGGGACACCAGCCCAGAACTGCAGGCAGACTCTCTCACAGACACGCACGCACGCACGCACGCACGCAGGAACTTAAACCCCAACCAAGTAAAGGCTTCTCTGGCACAACCTGGGAAAGACTTGGCACCGCGTGAGCTTGCTCAGTCACAGTGTCTGTTTCTGGTCTGGATCTAGGCAGCAGGACCTGTGCATTGTCACATGGCGTTACTTTTCTCCAAGCCGTAATAAAGGTTTTTAATAAATGGCTTCCACTCGTGCACTATTATTGTCTGAGAGGGCTTTGGGCGACAAAGGGGGAGGGCTGTGAACAAGTGGGTGTTGGAGTCTTTTTAAAATGCTGGATGTTCTGCCCTGGCCAGTGTGGCCCGAGCACCGAAAGGTCTCCAGGTTCGATTCCCAGTCAAGGGCATGTACCTGCGTTGCAGGTTTGATCCCCGTCTCCAGTCAGGGCCTGTGCAGGAGGCAGCCCATCAGTGTGTCTCTCTCACATCGATGTTCCTCTCCACGGCCCCCCCTCCTTTCCACTCTCTCTAAAAATCAATGGAAAAAACATTTCTCAGGTGAGGATTAATAAAAAATAAATAAGCAAAAAATAATAACAAAATGCTGGGCGTTCGGTTTACAGGGAGGGGAACCAGGCGAAGGAGACCACCCTGGGCTTCTCCTCCCAGCAGAGGGATTCTGTCCAAACCTCTGCCTGAGCCACCCAGACCAAGAGGAGACCGGACTCCCTGCAGCTGGCCTGGAAGTGCCGGCCCCATGGCCATGAGGGAGGGCCTCACAGCTCTCTCGGTCCCAGCCGTGAGTCTCCCCGGGGGCCCGGCCACTTGTTCTTTCAGACTGAGTCTGCTCAGAGGCCACCAGCATAACAGCTCAGTGGCCCGGCCCAGGCAGGGAAGCTCCCGCCCCCTCCCCGCCTCTTCCTGGTTTATTTAGACCAGGGTTGGTGCCCCGACTCCGAGCTAGGCGTTTTGCATACATGATCTCATCCTGTGTCCCAAAAGCAGCAGGTATCATCCCATTTCACAGGTGAAGAAACTGAAGTATAGAAAGGTCGAATGACTTGTCCCGAACCGTGCGCCTAGCGAGGGGGGTCTGAACTCAAACCCAGATGGGTGACTCTAAGCCCACCTGCTTCCCCCCTCCAGGCCTAGATTCACCACCCTCGGTTTATTTTCAATTGAAACAATCAGTATTACTCTTTTTTTACACGAGGCTTCGAGAAAGAATAATTATACTCTTATATTTATAGCACTGGCCTCCAAGGAGTTCTGCCTCAGAGCAGAAAGGAAAATGGATGCTCACCTTTCCTCTCTGCAAAGACGCAAATTTGGGTTCAGATAAGGGAAAGCAAGAGAATTGTGGCATCTCATCGCTTTTCCATGCCCGTGGGTAAGTTTCAAAGGTTGTTCTCTGTGCCGCTGAGGAAAGCATTTGGGGAACGGCTGGCTTTTGTGACCACGTGGCAAGAACTGCCTGCTCTAAGCCCACCCAGCCGGCAGCCCATCTGAGAGCCAGACTCCCCTGACATCCCCACCATCCCACCCTCGTCATGATCATTAGTGTCTTCTGGTTGATTCTGTGCCCCAGGTGCTGCCTGGTGCTCTGCACATATTATTTCTGAGCCCTATTTTACACATGAAGAAACTGAGGCTCAAAGGCATTGTAATATGCCTAGAACGGGTCACGAGGCCAGCAGGCTCTGAGGGTGGCGGGTCAAGCCACCACAGGGCTCGCTCTGCCCCGTCTTACTCAGCATCTCCCACCAGGTGTGAAAACGTGGGACAAATGCACGGCGCTCAGCAACGCAGCGGCCTCCCCAGCCCCCCCGGGCTCCAGTCCACCGGGAGGAACAGGCTGTGGGAGGGAAAGCAGAGCACAGAAGGGCTTCCAAATGCGCTGGGGTCGAAGCAGAGCTTCCGAAGGAAGCCGGAGCTGCGTGCCCCAAAATCT